GGGACGCGATAAATCGATCCCCGAGAGGTCGATTTCTACCCGCCGATTCAGGCGGGTAGTATAGACCAGACCTAGAGCTGGGCTTAGACTGCTGCCCTCCACCCACATCAGGCTCTCAGAGGACAAGAGGGGACACGTGAATGATCCAGTCACTGGAAGAAGATGAGATTTCACAGGAATTCCTACCATGGAGCAACAGGGTTTAGGTGTCTGTCCTATCACAGCTCCCTGATACTGGTGAGGATGGACAAATAGACAGGCAGGTCACAGGTCTGGGCTGGGATGTTTGTCACTTTTCTCACCTAACTCCCCATGACTCTGATTCTGCAATTGGATCCACGTTGGATGAATGACCTGGGGAAAATGGCGTGATCTCCTGGACACCAGATTTGCCATCAGTTTAAATAAATATAATAATTATATAGACAGAAAAGGCAGGAGGTAAGGACAGCTTCTCATTTTTATGTAGTGTTTTGAGATCCTCTCTAATCTGTCACTGAGCAGGTGAATAACCCCTGATTCATGGGCTGGGAAAAATGCCTCATTGTGAGAGACTTAAGGAGCTCAAGCTGTTTAGTTTATCAAAAAGAAGCCTGAGAGGTGACTAGATTATGGGGCATAAGTGCCTTCCTGGGGAGAGGTGAGGCACAATTCTTGTTAACAGGGGGCAAGGGGTGATCAACCCCTGGAACAAACTGCCCAGGGCAGTGGTGGATTCTCTACATCTTGATGTTTTCAAATCAAGACTGGAGCCTTGCTGGAAGATGCTTTAGTCAATTCAAGATGCACCGATATCCAATATACCTTGAAACATATCATTAATAACGATAGTTCCAGCTAGCTCTGAAACAGGAAAGCCATGGCTGTGTTCCAGTATCAAAGATACAAAACCGCACCTTTGCAAGAGGCACTTTTGTTCACCCCCCTCCAGTTGCTCAGAACAGGTGACCAGCAATCCACGTCTTCAGCAGCGCGCAGTACACTCCCGCCAGAAGCTCTCTTCCCCCAGGAACGGGATATGGAATGTTTGAACAAACTCTTCACGCAAGTGTTACTCACTGGGACAGGAGCCTTTCCTAGATTTGCATGTGGCTAGACCTTCCCTGCCGCTCTCTGTTAACCCACAAAGAACTCCCCAAAAGTTGACAGACAAGACGGTCACCTTGTTTTCCTGTGCAAAGTAGCGCTTGTGTCCTGGAGTTACATTAAGTTGCACAGGGTGGTGTAGAAACTGTAAATGGAACCAGTTAAGCAGGGTCTGCTCTAGCTATAGACAAACAAAGCAGCTACCTGGGGTGGCAGATTTCCAGGCAGCTGCCTAGAGCGGCAGATCTGACCTGGTAGCCAGGCCAAATTTGAGCGGGGAGAGGCGTGGCACACTCAACTTTTGCCGAGGGCGGCAGACGGACTTGAGTGGCTTCTGCAGGCAAGGATGCTTGTTAGGTGACCTACAGAAAGATGGATGGATATGGGTCCGAGCTCCTGATTGTCTAAAGACGTCCAATATATCTTCACCGCAAATCAGAAATTGTACATTTGTCTGCCTTATGAATTAGATATACACCTCTAGGGTAAATAATTAATGGCTCTTGTTCCTTCACTAAGATGATGGCTCTTGTTCCATTTTAAGCCCTGAAAGATGTAAAATGAAAGGTAATAGATGACAAAGAACGTTCCAACTAGGGCCACAAAATTTAGGGGAACTATAAGGGATTTTTTGTTTTCTTTTTTAAAATGATTGTTGAGCTATAAAAATGGCATGAATCGTACGACACAAGAAAGAAAAGGAATATGGAAAGATATAAACACCTAAACTGTATATGACTTTGAAATAGTAAAATAAATTGCTTAAAGGTGGAAATTAATGGTAAGGGTTACAAGAGGAATGCAGTTCTTGAAACAGAGACAACATGAAAAGCCTGCCATCAGAAAGAGATCAAAGAAATGTGTTATACACCGCTGCCATCTACTGGGCATTGGCAGAAGCGGCAGAAAAACAGAGTTCTGAAATCAGAGGTCACAGCCCCTAAAACCTGAGGTCACCGTGTGGTATCCTGGAGTTCTGCTGCAAACACAAAAAGGCTGCGGACTGAGAAGTGCTGCTGGATATTTGACCCAGCCACATGGAAAGATTCAACAAAAACCATTGGCTCCATAGCGAGTTAAAGTTCCCTCTCAGTTCTGTTTCACTAGTTCCTGGCCTTTTAAAGACAAAGCCAACTCTTGGCTTCTTTGAAAAGCTCGTTTTCATCTTCGGACTTCTTTTCATCCAGTTTGCTTTGGTTCTGCTTTAGTTCAATAAGTTCTTCAGACTTCCTCTTAGTTTCAACAATGAGCGACTCTTTCAGTTCAATACTTCCTGTCCACCGGCTCAACATTTCAGCCTTTGTCTTCACTGAAATACTTTTCTACGTCCTCCATGATGGTATCATCATTTCCTTGAATTTGCTCTTTGAGGTTTTCTTTGGTGATACAAGTATCACCAAAGAAAGTTGCTGAGCTCCAGTTCATTTGCAAATTTGACACCATCAGATCAGGATTAAACAAAGACTGTGAATGGCTATCCAACTACAGAAACAGTTTCTCCCCCTTTGGGGTTCACACCTAAACTGCTAGCAGAGCACCTCACCTTCCCTGATTGAACTAACCTCGTTATCTCCACACTGATTTATACCTGCCTCTGGAGATTTCCATTACTTGCATCTGAAGAAGTGAGGTTCTTACCCACGAAAGCTTATGCTCCCAGTACTTCTGTTAGTCTCAAAGGTGCCACAGGACCCTCTGTTGCTTTTTGGTGATACAGAGCATGTCTCCGTTCCAAATTCGATTGGTCAGTTTCATTTGCAAATCTAGCACGTGA